AAAAAAAAAAAAAAAAAAGAAGAAGAAGAAAATCATCTTTTTGTTTAGGCCTCCAGAAACAATGCCAGTCATTCAAATATGTTCTCAAGGAGGACATGTACAATAGCACTGTGGCATGTTAAAGCAATGGAAAATACATCATTCACGAGTAATCATTAGTCTAACATCAGCTGGTGGCAACTTGCAAACACTGCAGGGTTTAAATTAATAGCAATACAACTAGGAAATGAAATCATTTGTTATTCTTAAGAACCAATTTTATACATTTTATGCCTATGGAACTGCTTTCTGATCTTATTATTTAAAAAATAATGACCAAGACCCATTTATTTTTTGCCAGCCATCAAGTTTTCTAAAATATTGGTCTCAAGCTTGTTTCAATAAGACTCATTAGAATTATATGCTCCATCTGGTTTTTTTGGTTCTCTTTCCTTGGAAGTTTTATAAAGTGCAACCCCAGATAAATCAGAGTTAACAGGATGATGTATATTTAACAGACATGCTTGCTTACTCATGTGGGTTTTGTTTTGTTTTGTTTCTTCTTGAAATTTGCAGTTAAAAGGTACCAAGGAATTGGTCGAGACCAACGGCCACAGCCATGAGGACACAAATGTAGGTACCACTGACCCAGTATTTGCTCTTGTTGCTTGATGTTGGTTGAATGCCCACAGGTATGTGGCACTTTATTTATGACACAAAGGAGATCAGAAGTCCTGCCCCTCGGTGGTTTATTAAGATTACTCTGAATGGTTTGGCAGTAAAGTGTGGTAGACAGGCACTGCTCTTGTTAGCTTACGTTATCAAATGTCCGTTTTAGAGGTACTTGAGCTAATCTCTACCATAAAAATTCTCATCTCCGTGAATTTCTTTGAGTCCTTTGTATTTTCAAAGCTATACACTAATGACGTGTTGGGAGGGCAAATGGAATGAGACCAAACAGGGGGTAATAAGTTGTGTATTGCATGCGTATTTATTGAGTTTGCTGGTCACTGAAGATGGTAATGAAATGATTGCTGTGCCGGAAAGGTTTCAGAGCAGACCCCGTCTCTCAGAAAAGCCCTTGAAAGCGACGCCTCTCTTGTTTCTGACCCAGAACAGGAGCATGGTGCATCCGTCTTCTTGATACAAGAGTAATGGTACAAGATCCCAGTTAGCACAGACTTTTTCTCTTAGGGTTCCTTGTGTATCCAATTGCCCAAGATCAGTCCGGTGTTCTCTCTGCCTTGGAAGTTCTGTAGTCTCAGGTGGAATATTATGCCATGTAGATCATTGTCTCTCCCTATGTATGATGGTTGTGCTTTTGTCTTTTTAAAAATCTCTCTGATATCTGTACGTATTTGATTATTGTCATCACAGAAAATGCTTACTAAGCAGTTCTTTTCACATAATGCAGAATCAGACCTGGTAATGAATGCCTGATTAAGCTAGAGCTGGGAGAAATTATACACTTCATGTTCACTCTTGTTTTAATTATATACCGTGGAATGCCTGACATCCAAAGTACCAAAAAAATCCCTCTTTAATAACTACTGTTCCTGCAAAACGGATATTTAACTATGACGTTTATGGAGAGTCTACTGCGTACGTAGAGCTCTACTACGTGCTGGGGGGGGTGGGGGTGGTTACAGAGAAAATAGAAGGCTTGCTGTCTGCCCTCCGAGAACTTGTAACTGAGTTGGGGATGAGGGAACACACGGGCGATAGACAGGATGTGAAAAGTGTGTCACAAGGGGAGGCAGCTGTGATGCGGTGTAGTTTGAAATCTGGACTTTGCTGCCTATTAACTGTGTCAACTGGGGGCAGGTCGGCACTTCTGAGTTTCATTTTCCTATTTGTAAAGTGGATGGCGATGCCTACCTCAAACATGTGTCATGAAGTCGTAACGGGCTGAGGCATCTGAGACGTCACTACGATGGTCTCACGGTGGTGGACAACCGAGAACAGCTTCCCAGATCGGTGGGATTTGGTTTAGCTTTGGAGGACGGAGAGGATTGAGAAAGCAGAGGAGGAAGCCATGCATACAGAGCTCTCCACAGGCAACATTGCCACCTAAATAGTTTCTCTTCCCACTCCAGTATTTCATAAACCCCCGCCTTATCGTGGAGCCTTTTTTCCAGGGTCCTATCCTCCTGGGACACATTGCTGCCGCATTCTCGACCAGAACCTTCACATGCTTCTCCCTCAGAGTCAGTCCCTCTGTGTCTCCTGAGGAAAGCCGCTGTCAAATCCAACAAGGCAAAGTGGCAGGATGCCTCGATTTCCTGGTCTACAAAATGGGGATGATATTACCTGTCTTTCCTTCTTGTAAGGCTTATGGTGAGAAGCAAATGAGATAATGGATGTGGAGGCACTTTGTAATTGTGAGGTTCTGAGCAGGAGGTTGTTATGATTATAAGCTCATCTGTTGGTCGAATTAAATTGACGATGCGTGTGAAGACAGGCCTCACACAATATCTAGTCCCTCTCGTTTTGAGAAATGTCAAAACGCATTCATTATTCAATGAAAAAAGTGGAAGGTCATCTTTGAAGTCTCTTATCCTTTCTAGAAGAAAGTTTTTAGCTTTGAAAGAGACCTCTCTAGAATCCAGGGTGTGGGCTGAAAAAGCCCACAACAGAAAAGTCGACAGAAGTAATGGCTGTTGAGAGACAGGGTTGAGGCCAAGTAGGAGGGAGGGGCAGCACTGTGACCAAGGGTGGGTGAGAGGTTTGTGGAATGATGGAGCCCAGCAGCACTTGCCGGTGCCCCCCTCCATGCCCACCTTTCTCACTGGGCCAAAGGTTGGGCTAGTTTCTATAATCACTGCCTATTCTTTTAGGGCTTTCCCAGCAGGTGGATAATCCACGGGTCTTGCTCTTTTCTGTCTGTCATGTTGTCTCCTTTGGGCAGTTCCCTACTACCTTCGCTGGGTTATGTGAATGAAAAAAAAAAAAGTTATTTTGGCCACACATTAGAAGCGCTTGCACAGTATCGGGTGAAGGTCGTTTTAAATGTCTGAAATGAAGTCCCCGTCTCCTCTAAAGTTTCCATCGGCCTTGTGGTGGTAGAAGGCATCAGGCTTTCAAACTAGATTGAGAAGGTTTGGGTTCATTTTGATCCCTGAATAGCCGTGTGACCAGGGCAAGTGATTTGACTTTCACCTTCCTCATCCATAAGAGTGCTCAGGGTACATAAACACTTGGCTTAGCGTGTCAATTCCCTCTCTTCATCTAGCCACATAAATAGTAGTTGGTATAGAAGGCAGAATTTTGACAGGATGAATTTTTTATGGTTGTTTTTGTTGTTTATTATTTTTTTTTAATTTACATCCAAATTAGTTAGCATACAGTGCAACAATGATTTCAGGAATAGATTCTTTAATGCCCCTTACCCATTTAGCCCATCCCCCCTCCCACAGCCCCTCCAGTAACCCTCTGTTTGTTCTCCATATTTAAGAGTCTCTTCTGTTTTGTCCCCCTCCCTGTTTTTATATTATTTTTGTTTCCCTTCCCTTATGTTCCTCTGTTTTGTCTCTTAAAGTCCTCATGTGAGTGAAGTTATATGATATTTGTCTTTCTCTGACTAATTTCACTTAGCATAATCCCCTCCAGTTCCATCCACATAGTTGCAAATGGCAAAATTTCATTCTTTTTGATTGCCAAGTAATACTCCATTGTGTGTGTGTGTGTGTGTGTGTGTGTGTGTGTGTGTGTGTGTATACACACACCACATCTTCTTTATCCATTCATCCATCAGTGGACATTTGGGCTCTTTCCATACTTTGGCTGTTGTTGATAGTGCTGCTATCAACATTGGGGTGCATGTGTTCCTCGGAAACAGCACACCTGTATCCCTTGGATAAATGCCTAGTAGTGCAATTGCTGGGTCATAGGGTAGTTCTATTTTTAGTTTTTTGAGGAGCCTACATACTGTTTTCCAGAGTGGCTGCAACATCTTGCATTCCCACCAACAATGCAAAAGAGATCCTCTTTCTCCGCATCCTCGCCAACATCTGTTGTTGCCTGAGTTGTTAATGTGAGCCATTCTGACAAGTGTGAGGTGGTATCTCATTGTGGTTTTGTGTTTCCCTGATGACGAGTGATGTTGAGCATTTTTTCATGTGTCAGTTGGCCATCTGGATGTCTTCTTTGGAGAAGTGTGTATTCATGTCTTTTGCCCATTTCTTCACTGGATTATTTGCTTTTGGGGTGTTGAGTTTGATAAGTTCTTTATAGATTTTGGATACTAACCCTTTATCTGATATGTTGTTTGCAAATATCTTCTCCCATTCTGTCAGTTGCCTTTTAGTTTTCCTGATTGCTTCCTTCACTGTGCAGAAGCTTTTTATTTTGATGAGGTCCCAGTAAGTTCATTTTTGCTTTTGTTTTCCTTGCCTCCAGAGACGTGTTGAGTAAGAAGTTGCTGCGGCCAAGATCAAAGAAGTTTTTGCCTTCTTTCTCCTTGAAAATTTTGATGGCTTTCTGTCTTACATTTAGGTCTTTCAACCATTTTGAGTTTATTTTTGTGTATGATGTAAGAAAGTGGTCCAGGCTCATTCTTCTGCATGTCGCTGTCCAGTTTTCCCAGCACCACTTGCTGAAGAGACTGTCTTTATTCCATTGGATAGTCTTTCCTGCTTTGTCAAAGATGAGTTGGTCATCTGTTTGTGGGTCCATTTCTGAGTTCTCTATTCTGTTCCATTGACCTGAGTGTCTGTTCTTGTGCCAATGACAAGATGAATTTTAATGCAGATCATGAGGTTTAAAGCCTCTGGCACAGAAGTTATTGACTAAGACATATAGATTTTTTTTTCTCTATAATTAGTCACATGGGCAGGAATTTTACATATTATTTATTAATAATAATTATACAGGACTGGTGCAGGCTTAGCTGGATATTCTTATGAGAGTTGACAGTTGCTTTTTAAAAACAATATATTTTATTATAAAAGAAGTAGTCTGTATGAAACTGGAAAATCATAGAAAAAAATACAGAGGTGAAGAAAAATAACTTAACATCTCATTACTCAGAGATAACCACTATTAATATTTTATTTTAGTTTTTTCCAGTCATGTGCATATATATGACCAGAGGGAAAAAGCCATAAATAAATATTATCATAGTGTCTTCAGTTTTGTACATTTTTGATTTCTCATTATATCATAAGTATTTTTCTTGTCACCAAATGTTCCTCAAAGACATGATTCTTAATGGCTGTGTAATGCAGATAGGAAATAATTGAACCACAGACCTATGTGTTCGGCATTTAACTTCCCATTTTTTTACTATTATAAATAATGCTGTAATTAACATGCCCATAAATCTCGTTCTGCCTCTTTCATATTTGTTTCTGGGGGATACTGTATATTAATAGGCATGTCATGGAGTCTGGCAGGGAGTTTCAGACTTGCAGAATTGTTTAGCATTTAGAATGTCGTGTGGCAGATGGACACTTATGGTAGCCATTAGTGGTCCTGAAGGGACTCATAACAAATATGTCTCGTCTTGCAATTTACTAACCCTCTTGCCTTAGTCCCGAGCGTTGTCCAGCTTATGGGATGTTAACCACACTTAGATTTGACCTGTTACTCTTCCTTTTCTACTGTTTTTATGTTTTATTGAGCCAACAACAGTC